TGTAAGCTGAGGCTTATTTTAAATCGTTAAATTAAATTCTGTGTTTTAATTGAGTTTCTAACTGCTTTCCACTTTGAGTGCGCGTCCCGGACTTTTTTAGAGTATCTGAAAACTTTTATCTTGTATAGTTTTCCTTCATAGTTTTATACCATTAGAGCCCTATACATTCTTTAGTAAATTATGTTGTTAGTTGTTGTCATAACTTTTCACTTTTTGTTTTCTTTTGTTTTTTTTTCACTTCATTTTATTTTTATTGTTTTGTAGCTCTTGGATGTACTGAAATGTTCATGAAGAAAAAACTTTAAAAAAAAAAGAAAAAAAAATTTAGGCACTTGTGTCTCTTGCAGTTTTAGGAATATTTAGTAAGTGGTTGGTGAGGAATTAGTATTTAATGTCCCATTAAATTGTACGCAACGTTTTGACCCTTGGAAATTCGACACCATATCAAGGTTAATTGGATTTGATATTGTTGCGAGGCTACAGAACGGTTATAAGTAGTTGCTGTTGCTGATATGCTTCGGAGCATTGGACGACTGGGTGCGGAACTGACTTTGTGTGGGTGATGTTGATAACGAAATAACTTGATTATTAAGGAACTTTGGGAAGATGTGGTGGTCGGCGGGGTATTGTTGTGCCGGAAGTGTCAGGTTAATCCGTCAATTTTTAAAAGCCATTTACAAAAAGAGTTTGGAAGAATGTCGTTTCAGTCGTCAATGACGCTTTTGTAGGGTCGACTGATGGGAATGGGATGTACACGATGACTCGCAGAATTATTTGCAGAAAATGGGGCGATGTACCAAGATTTTTTTTAACAAGAGAAATATAGTAAATTTTGATGTACTGTACTCGCTCTAGAATAATTCATGTTCATGCTGATAGTATAGGTTTTTGCTGTAGTCAGCTTATCTCAGTGGATAAATTTGAAGTATAAATAGCAGGAGAGTGGTTTTCGAACATCTTCGAAGCAGAACATGTATTTTAAACGTTTTTTTGATGAGAGCGTGGTAAACTGAGCAGAAAACGGTAGCAACACAAAAATTACTTTTCTGAAAAGCTGCTGTGAATCATACCAATTTTTTCCATTCAAAACAAAATCACTAATTGAATGAGGTAAATGACTGCCTATATTTTCTGTTCAGCGGATTCAAACTCACAAACACTTTGACAACTACAGTAATCAATTGTACTTGTTATCCAATTACGTTATCACTGTTTGAAAGGACTGTAAAAAGACGGGCAACAGGATCTTTTGACATTTAAGCTGTTGTCTTACGGTTAATTTTATACTCGCTAACAGCAGATCATTGGGAGCTAATATAAGACTAGTTTCAATTACAGCAGGAAAACCCGTTGAGCTTTGCTATTAACCATGGTATGCTTCGAACAGACTAATAGTCTGAACTCGCCAAAAAGACCCTGCAATGACTCAATCCAACAGCATTTACTACATAACTTTCGCAATGCACCAAATTCTTCCGTATCCGAGTTACCCTAATAGATATAAAAAATACTCCGAGACACGAGGACAATCCTTAAATACGTGAAATAATATTTGATTTCACTGAACGTGCCTGCCACAGGACTCAGTCAAACCAACTACTCTCAACTCTATCCACAAGCTCAAACGACTGAACTTTAAAAGACACTAACAACACCGATACTTGAGAAAACACCATCCATAAAAAAACCCGACCACCTTTGACCTGCAGCGAGCATTCCATTTTCTGCCATATCGCTATCGGCGAAAAAACAAAACTTAACTGTCGCTGCCAACGCAAGTGTAACACAAAGTTACGTAATATGTATCTGGTACGCCTACAACAGTACCTCATTTACTCTGCGCTCTTGTAAACAATTTTTTGCATACAGATCGAATAATATTTGATTAATGCATTGCATTTATGCTGAATTTACGTTATAAAAGCGTGACTGTCTCTTCACCAACAGTGTACTCCGCTACTTCAAGTCTGTGATAACCAAATAAAACAAACCCGAAAATACCTGTGCATTCAAGCAAATAAAAGGCGCCACAAATGCTGCTTTGTCATTATTTATTTCACATAACAAACACTACTCCGAATCCCATTCTGGACTTGATCAATTACGCTAGAAGTAGAGCATTCAAAAGAATGTGCATTCTGATAACAATTGAAATATGCAAAAAAGAGAAAAACCTACAAGTTAATCGCAAAGGGAAAAGTTCCATGCAAATATAAAAAGTAGAGAAGTTTAAAATTAAATTGGTCGAAAGATTAACAGGCGATAACCATAACAAGCTCATGAGACTGGATATTAAATGTGCTCAAGCTATTCAAAAAAAAAAAAAAATTCTTGGTGCAACGCTTCGGAAACCATATTTGCAGAAAGTACAGAAACAATAAAGAGCAAAGTTTAGATTACCGAAAATGCAGTTTATAAAACAGAAAAAAGATAGTTGTTAAGAGGACAAAAAGTTCTACATAACTGAATTACTGTACGACTTTAAAAACATCATAATTTTCAAAACTAAGTTAATAGTTAAACAACGGTTAAACCAGATAAAATTAATAAAAAAAAACAAGGCATGCTAAAACCACCATAATCAAATGCTCCCCAACTTTCCAATGATGTTCACTCTGAAGTTTTAGTTCTCATTCACGCAACAATTAAAAATAACGCAATAGCTTGAGTGGTACAGCATAAATTTGTAAATTTGAAACAAAAAAATTAAAATAGAAAAAAAAAAGAAAGAAAACAAAAAACCGAGATATTCAATTTCTCAATTATGATAGCCTAAAAAAACAACAGAAGTGCCAAATCAAAAAAATTACTCAAGACTTCTTGTAAAAAAAACAATATGATAAATGCTTTAGAACTGAAAATCACTTTCAAAACAATTAAAAAGTAAAAAAGAAGGAAAAGAAGTAAAACTAGTGTGAGTTGGAATATTCGACCAACTCTAAATTTAAAAAAATAAACACCTAGATAATGACAAACGATAAGAGAATTCATTCCAGAATAAAAGAAAATAGTAGCTAAGGGAGAACAGAAGAGCGCATAACAAGCAGTCTGTAAAACGTCGTAAGGTAACATGACTCAACATTAAAGAGAACCATCTCATATTGATAAAAGCGCTTATTTTTCAAAGCTACGAGGATAGAGCACAAAAACATGAAAAAGTGCCAAAAAAAGTAAGTGGCCATAAAACAAATCTGTGCTAAAGTGTTAAATATGAATTGAATTATAAGATCCTTTCAAAAATTCAACAACTAGAAAAATGCAACAACTTTTTGTGTAAGAAAAGAGGGAGAAACAATGAGAAAAAACTGAATAAATAGGACGACTCTCAATAAGAAACCAACTGTAAAAAGAAATACGTCATCTAAAGCGAAGACGACACTATACCGGATTTGAAGTCTTGCAGTAGAACTGCTAAAACCAATCAGCATTACATAAGGGATTTAACAAGACTCAAAACATACCAGGATCAATAAAAACATAACTTAAATTCTTAAAAAAAGCCTTATCAAATCTAGCAATTATGATGAAAGAAGGAGATTAGAATGTTTTACTGCCTCTCTGAACACGTCGCCGCGGTGCGGTTCCACGATGTCCACCTAAAATTTTCCAAACAACTTTTCGAATCAAAATATACTAGCTTTTTGTAATCCATGTGAATACAGTTATATTCGTAAAATTGTTCAAGTAAATAAATCCTTTTTTACAAAGGAAAGAAATGAGTACTTCACAGTCAAAACTGTTTAGCTAACCAAAAGTGCAAAAGAACAGAGCATGTACTGATTTAAGAAAACTCGTAGAACAAACCTCCTCGACTACTGGTGAACGACCGATTCTTTGCGCTAAACTCCAAACGCTTTCCAACTGATGACTCTTCGTTTGTTCTAAATAGTAAAAACCCGAAACATTACCAAGCTAGCTTAAAAAATATCACAATCGAGCCCTTGAAACAGCAACAAAAAAGTCTTTCAGCTCAATTTACAGCTTCATTATAAAGTCTTCTTAAAGAATTACTGTTGCTGAGGAGAAGAAGTCGGCGCGTTGGAGTCATCCATGTTTCGTCTAGTCCACAGCATATTCCTACCATCTTTTCGGTAAAAACCGCGTGACTGATCACCTGGAATTATATCACAGTCTCAACGGCCCAGCCGTACCGCAAAAACAACACCAGTAAAAAACACGGTTTTTCTTAACTGCTGCCAGCGAAATGGAAGCTTAAAAACTAATGAAAATCTCATAAATAACCACATCATATCAGCTAAAAACATTTTCCACCCACCACTGCAGTTGTTCGAAGTGTGAGGAGCAAAAGCACTCCTGCGGGTAAACTGCCTTATCCCTTTCTGCCAATTATCATTCCCAACACGTTTAGAAAAATTTTTGAAACGCTGTCCCTGCTGTGCTACATTGCCAGATCGAAAAGAGCTTGAGAGCTTCGTCTGATCTTTCTCATTGTCATCTGCCGACCCTGCTTCTTGGTTGGTATTAGAATACGGATCTTCAGGGACCTTAAAAAATTTACAAGAACTAAATTCACAAGGACTGAGAAACAGAGAATTTTTAAACCGCAATTTGAAGGTGCAGCCCATACCAAATATACAAGATCCAAAAAATAAAGCTGGGAACTTACAAGCACTTTTTTAAAAGTTACTTCAAAGTTTCTTGTTATGAAAAAAATATCACTTCATTTGGTTACATGCCTGTTCTTCTTCAACTTGGACGTCCTCTTTTGAATCTAAATTAAGCCGATTTTCTCCCAAATCCTGCTGCTTCGTGTCTGATTTGGGATTTCTAGAGCTTCCATACGAACCCTTCCTTCGCATCTCTTCAAAAAAAAAAAAAAAGAAAAAAAAAGTGCAATAGCCTACTACAAAATATTCTGAACACAGAAGAGAATGATGTACATTTACGCACATGCACATTTCCTCCAAAGAGGAAAAATTCAAACAGCTCAAATTTTCTCTACACCACTTGCAGTGAATTAATTTTAAACCACTAACCAACGGTGCAGAGATAACTGGAATAAAAAGGCAGTTAGTAAATACTTTTTGGCTCTTGCCTTTCTATCCAGAAAATCGTAAATATGCAGTTAATTTTCTTTCATAAAA